CCCAGCTACTCAGGAGGCTGATTCAGGAGAATCGCTTGAGCCCAAGAGGCAGAGGTTACCATGAGCCGAGATCACACCACTGCACTCCAGCCTAGGCGACAGAGTGAGACTCTGTCTCCAAATAAATACATAAAAGTAACCAAATGACTTACAGGGGTGCTGTCTTAAATTCTATCAGGAAAGCATCTACCTAAATGTAACCAATGTGAGATAAACTTATATTTTGGAAACTAATATGTAAAGAAAGATCTTTAAAGGTAATAATAAGGCTGTTGCAAGCATTCACAATAGCAGCTCATACGAGCATTATCTACAAATCAGGCACTATACTAAGTTTTATAAAATATATATATAACCACTTTACTGATTTCTCTCTCCATTTTACAGGTGAAGAAATCAGAGGCAAAGAGGAGTTAAGAATGTGGCCTCAAGGCCATATAGCTTGTAAAGGGGGAATGGGATCTACCCAACTCCAGAAGATGCTTTTGGCTTCGCTAATTCACTGCTGCATCTTCAGGTTTCACATGCGTTCCAGCCTGCTTCAAAGACATCTTCCTAGAACTGAATGATACTATTCCTTAAGAAACACTACTCCCAGTTTCTACTTTTGTACCTATCAAGCAACTTTCCGATATTTTGTTTTCCCATATTCCAATATTCCGTTTTCCCAAGCCCATTTTCTACTTGGAAAAAGAGGAACTGAACAGTCAAATGGAGTAAAGACTAGGCATGCTGATTTTGAACATAAATTTGGTTCATGTGATGAACCATGGAGGCACCAGTATCCTATTCTAAGGATCAACATAATAGAGGAAAAGTCACCAAGTCAGGCATCAATCCTACACAAGACCACGAATGCTAAACCAACTCTACACCTAGAACAAACTTGTCGAATCTCTGTCCCGCAAGGCACATGTGGCCCAGGACGGCTTTGAATGCGGCCCAACACAAACTCGTCAACTTTCTTAAAACACTATGAGATTTTTTGTGTGTGTGATTTTTTTTTTAAGCTCACCAGCTATCATTAGTGTTAGTGTATTTTATTTGTGGCCCAAGACAATTATTCTTCCAAGGTGGCCCAGGGAAGTCACAAGGTTGGACACCCCTGACCTAGAATGTAAAAAAGAAAAATAAAAAGGAAACACAAGCTACTATTAGTATTAGAAAAATATGGATGGTAGCACTACTACAACATACGTAGCTAGAAGAACTCTTAGCAGCCTTCTTTCTCCAGTGGGAAAAATTAAAATATATTATGTAAATGTCAAGTGTTTTCGTTTAAAAGGAAGATTAAAATATAATGGGCGGAATTATTAAACAGTTAAGAAAAAATTATATTACCTGATTAAGTGGAAGGGGTATATTGCTTCAGAACTAACTTTATTTTGGAAATACTGGACAAGTGGCAGGTCTTACTGATGGATTGGAGTTTCTTCCCCCTACCTCCCCTTCTATATTCTGTACTACTTGAAGACCTAATATTTTGAGAAAGGCCAAAATTTGGGATGTGCCTCTTGGGTTCCTCCATAAAGGCTGGCCTGCCAATTCTTATTATTAATAGATTCATGGTCTTGAACAAGAAAAATCAGTGGACTCTTTGGTTTACACAAACCTTGCCAATTTTTCCACACCCTAAATGTCTGAAGGTTTACTGGTAACTCCTATTTGTCTTCCATAGCGGTATCCTATCTTTCTCTTCCAAGTTTCATTTTCTGTCTTCTAGATGACGTCAGCAGTGGTAATTCTCGGAGGAAGGTATAACTGGAGGGCATGCACTAGGAACACCAAAAAATGGGAACTTGGCCAATTCAAAGCGGGAAAGTAGTACTGAGAAGAATGTATATAATGACATCTATCTTTCCCATAAAGACAGGAGAACTGAGACCATATCTTTAGGAGACAGGTTTTGGTGAAGTCAAGAAAGTAAAAAAAAAGTTGGAAGATCTTTTGGAAAACATAATGAATGGCAGCTTTCCAGAGAGACCTAGGAAGCACAAATTTCACATAGCAAAAAAGGGTAAGAAAGAACTACAGCTGACTCACATTTTCTTTTTTAAAAAAATTTAAACTGCCTCAATTTGCTATAATTTTCTTAGCCAATCCCTTCTTTTCTGAAAATACAGCTCAACTTCAACCTAGTCCCTTCCGATAATCACAAATTCTGAGTTAACAGTGTTTCAGGATTTCAGGATTTGTTACTTCTTCTCAATTATTCCTTTTTTTTTTTTTTTCAGATGGAGTCTCACTCTATCACCCAGGCTGGAGTGCAGTGGCGTGATCTCGGCTCACTGCAACCTCTGCCTCCTGGGTTCAAGTGATTCTCCTGCCTCAGCCTCCTGAGCAGCTGGGATCACAGGCATGTGCCACCACACCCAGCTAATTTTTGTATTTTTAGTAGAGACAGGGTTTCTCCATGTTGGTCAGGCTGGTCTCGAACTCCTGACCTCAAGTGATCTGCCCACCTCGGCCTCCCAAAGTCCTGAGATTACAGATGTGAGGCACTGCGCCCAGCCATCTCAATTATTCCTACATGATGGTTGAGAGAAAGGAAGAAGGATAGACCAGTTACAGGACAAAAAGTGTTAGGGCAACAAACGCTAGGCATAAAAAGAAAGACCAGGTGTGGTGGTTCACACCTCCAATCCCAGCACTTTGGGAAGCTGAGGTGGGAGGATAGCTTGAGGCAAGGAGTTCAAGACTAGGCTGGGCAACATAGCAACACTTTCTCTCTGCAAAATATAAAAATAAATACATATTTTTAAAAAGAAGACAAAAAAAATAGATAAATGTGTTTATGTTTGTGCATATGCTACATATGTAAGTCACCAGATGGGCTGGGATCAACTGTATGAAAGGGAAAACAAGGTTTATCCCAGCAAATCTGCCAAAGCCTGCAGGTCCCACAAGTACCTACTATGGAGGATATTTTTGTTCCGATCATCTCAAGCTGAAGTCAACTTTGTAACGTAAACGTCAAACTCTGGTTGTTTGTATGGTTTATTTTAAGAAGACAACAAGGTTCTTCGACCTTGGGCAGCAACCACAGAGACATTCAAAGATTGATGCACTCTGATATCTGTTGCAAGTATATGTAACTCATCAACATTTGTTACAGATATCAGCAAAATGGCCCTTTCAGTACTTAAAAAAAAATTACAGAGTAACAGTATCTTCATGCTGAAAACGATCATTAAGATTACCTAATCAGCCCCCTTTTCGCAAGGATTGGAGAAATTGAAGCTAAAAGGGGAATTTGCACAACATGAACAAAACGGAAAGAGCATAAATGAAATCTTGGATTTCAAAGCAGAGAATTAAAGAAAATCAAACCAAAGAAAATAAAAGGCTTTTAAAAAGAAAAATGTATTTTAGCTCCATTTTTTTTCCACAGAAAATCACAAACTATATCCTCTCCCCCTTGCAGAAGAGGATTCACATCATGTCAATTAGGTCTTTTTGAGATACACACTCATTCCTTCAGGCAGACACACTACCATACTGTTCTTTTCTTTTACATTCAACTTTAAATCCCATAATCTAACTGAAGTCTTTTCACAATTAATTATTGCACAAGTTCAGCAAGTTAAGCATGTTTATTAATTCCCATCACACTAGAAAAAAAGTTAGAGGCAGCATAATCTAAATTTAAAGTGACCTTTCATTTAGAAGTTAGAAAATTAGAGGTAGATACCTTGGAATTTTTATTGTCTCTAAGACCACCTCCCCTTCAACCCCGCCAAAAGGAAGGGATACTAGCAATCTAGAAAAAAATACGCGTGGAGAGGCTTAGGACCTGCATCATCAAGCACTGTCAGTGGTTCTCAGCAGTACTCACTGGTTGCATGTCAGAACCAAGGAGATGTAAAATATATGTTTTAGAGATAACCTAAAACCTGTTCTAAAGAACTCCAATGACAGTCAACATACCTACTCAAGCAAGAGGGAAAGAAATAATATTGTACACAACCCTAGATTCATTCAGTATGTCTCCCATGTGTATTGACAGTCAGCTTGTATATCTGGGAAGATGAGAGGGGACAATCTGGTATCACTCATTTACTAGAGGAGAAAACTTAAATTCTAAAAGATTCAATAGCTTATATAGGTCCTTCTGAAAATGAAAAATTTCCATTTAGAGACTGCTCTTCTGCAAAGCTATCTGATCCATTGACACCAGGAAGGAGAGCTGATGCCATCCAGATATTTCTTCTGGTGTTAATTAATATGACTTCCTGGTTAGTAAGTTTTTGCTGCTTTAGAACTTGATCCAACAATTAAACTGACAAAACTGTTTCAAACCTGTAAAGCTGCTGACACATATACCATGCAAATTCCATTAATGGGAGACGCCTGGATGTCCAGCTTGAAATACCTGGCTATCTACCACAATGAAAAAATTCTGAGTTATGTATAAATAAGTTGATTTATTCATTCACATTACATTCTCTACCCCACTTCCTCTCTCCCTTCACCTACCTCTTCATTCCTCCAACCCAATGGTATGAAGCAGGAGTTGGCAAACATTTTCTGTAAAGGGTCAGATGGTAAATAGTTTGGCCTTTGTGGGCTCTGCCTTTGTAGCACAAAAGTAGCCACAGACAATCCATAAATGAATGAGTGTGGCTATATTCCAAAAAAACTTCATTTACAAAAAGATTCAGCTTGCAGAACTATAGTCTGCCAACCCTGGTTTGAAGTAGCAATTTTCAAACTTTAGCCTGAATCACAATCACACAGGCTTGTTAAAATACAGACCTCTGGGCCTCATCCGTAAGTTTCTGATTCAATAGCCCTGTCATGGGGCCTGAGATTTTAATAAGCTCCCAAGCAATGCTGATGCTGCTGGTCCAGGGACCACACTTTGAGAACCACTAGTACAAAACAATGGTCTATACTACATTCAGTGGAAGGTTAAAATGTAACCAACAATCAAGAATGTAGAAATGACATGCTGCAAACTTGACTGCTAATTTCATAGAATATTTCATATGAAGACTTACTGTTAAGTGCCATAATATTATCTGTTCCTGGATGATGGAAATTTATTCCCATGCGTCCTAAAAAATAAAATAATTTTAAGCACAAAGAATGCTTAATGTAATCATTTCAAATACATCTTAAAATATAAACATTACAAAAATCTAAAACAGGTTAATCTATAACAATGCTATCAAAGGCCAAAGCAGTTACAACAGCTTTAAAAATTAAGGCATAAAACATACACATGAAAAGTCTTAAAGCCAAAGTTTCAAAAACAAATAAATAAAACAAAACAAAAAAGAAGCTTCTGTTATAATAGTCTAAAATTTAACACATCTCCTGCATTCCAATTTAAACATGCTAACTCTTTGGATTAAGCATTTTATTTAAACAATCATTTATACTGCTCTTCCATTCAAGCAGCAAAAAAAACAAAAACAAAAAAAAGATTCAAACAAGTATATAAATTTGAAGCTTAGAGAGAATAAAAAGACAGGTTTCACAGTGGCTTAAAAATGCAACATAATAATCAGAATGGCAACCAGAAGGAAGATAGTAAAATTTATATAAGAGATAGAAGGGGGGAAAATGATTGGCCTAAAAATCTAGGGTTCTGGTGGCTCTCCTCACCACTAACTAGTTATATGACCTTGAATATAATGCTAATTTCCATATGTTCATCCTTAAGTTTATAACAGGAGTTGCAAACTTCTGCTGATATGGCTGGCTTCCTGTTTTTGTATGCCTCTGAGTTAAGCATCATATTTACATTTAGAAAGGCTCGTAGGCCGAGCGCGGTGGCTCAAGCCTGTAATCCCAGCACTTTGGGAGGCCGAGACGGGCAGATCACGAGGTCAGGAGATCGAGACCATCCTGGCTAACACGTTGAAACCCCGTCTCTACTAAAAAATACAAAAAACTAGCCGGGCGAGGCGGCGGGCGCCTGTAGTCCCAGCTACTCGGGAGGCTGAGGCAGGAGAATGGCGTAAATCCGGGAGGTGGAGCTTGCAGTGAGCTGAGATCCGGCCACTGCACTCCAGCCTCGGCGGCAGAGTGAGACTCTGTCTCAAAAAAAAAAAAAAAAAAGAAAGGCTTGTAAACACAACCAAACCAAAATTAAAACAAAGAACAATATATGACAGAGACCATGTGGCCCGTAAAGCCTAAAATATTTACTCTTTAGCACTTCACAACTTTTGTCAACCCCTGGTCTGTAAGATGTTAAGTCAGAATCAGATGCTTCAACTAATGGCCCCTAGGGGCAAGAATGGAAGATGCAGACATTTTTGTTATGTTTTTTTCATTATTTGGGACAAGGAGGTAGATGTATAAAAAGAAAAATTAGAGAGAGTCTTATATGAAAAAAAAAATGTACTTAGAAAGCTTTCTTGACCAAATTCCTTCAACAAAATAGTTATTGAAACAATGCTTTTATTTAAAGCTAGTATCTATAAACTTGGCTCTGCAAGGTTTTAATGTTCAATTATGTCAAGGGTTATCATGAAATTCTCAAAAAATGTTAATCTTATTTCACTACCATTGTTTAAATAAATGTCAACAGTATCTTGGGGAGAAAGTAGTACAGAAAAAGCTGGAGATAAGGTTAAAATGATTGATTTTTTACAACATATACACTTTTATATTACATAATTGCAAAAGACTCAGTCATCATTTGATAGTAAACTCTGTTATGGGGGACTGGAGGCAAATAGCACTATTAAGTTCTTTTTGCCCAAAAGGAAAGCATCATAGTAGACAAAACAGAGCATCTGCCTTAAATAAAAAGGGAGAATCATGAACAAATCCTAAACAAATGAAGTTTTTGCCTAGACAGGACCATCCTGATTTCTTATGTCTCCCCAGGCGACGATAATTTGTAAAAGGTCATTTCATATTAACAGGTAGGGAAGGCCAGGCGCAGTGGTTCACGCCTGTAATCCCCGCACTTTGGGAGGTCGAATCATCTGAGGTCAGGAGTTTGAGACCGGCCTGGCCAACATGGTGAAACCCCGTCTCTACTAAAAATACAAAAATTAGCTGGGTGTGGTGGTGGGTGCCTGTAATCCCAGCTACTCAGGAGGCTGAGGCAGGAGATTCACTTGAACTCAGAATGCAGAGGTTGCAGTGAGCCAAGACTGTGCCACTGTACTCCAGCCAGGGAGTCAGAGCAAGACTCCATCTCAAAAAAAAAAAAAAAAGTGGCAGGGAAAAACAAAATCCTCGCAAGTGAAGCGTCACTTGTATTGGTGTGTATGTATGTACTGAAGAATGAGAAAATCTTAAATAAATCCATAAATAAGAAAATCCACCATAATTTGATGGATTCTGATGAAACTGTTCTAACTTTATCATGAAGTATTATAGAGCTTTCCATAAAAAAATTTAGTTTTTATTATTTCAAACCTTATTAGGAGAAAAATGTTTCACCTCTCTCTGGTTTTGCAGAGACAATTTTGCTAGCATTTGTAATATAGTAAAATTATTTTCTTAGATTAGATCATGTTTTCTATTAAAAAGCCATATGAGTAAAGAATCATCTAAGAGAATCATCTATTTTATTTTTATAGATTTCATAAACCTTTTCATATTTACTAGAAGCTAACTATTAGGAATTTCAAAAACTACCCCATTGTTAAAAGATACATGTACTGTATCTATATGTAATTGTTCAATGTGCCTGACATTTTTTCAGTTCCTAAGTCATTTTAGAGTCCCTGAAAATTATAGTCAGCAACGAGTGTTATCTCCTACCACTACCTTTATCAGAACATATAATAGGAAAAACTGTCACCAGAACAAGGCTTTAACTCAGTAGGGAGAAAGCATATTCTCATTTCAGTTAGCTATCTCAATGTCCTTGCCATCATTTCTGGATAATCAAGACCTTATTTGGATTCATTATCATGAAATACTAATATCCATGAAAACTAGATATGATTTACTCTAAACCAGCGTTCATCCTTTTCTGGGGTATTCAAATATAACAGTAATCAGCCAGTTACTGGAAAGTCTACCTAAAAGCCCATCAAGACTTCAAAATTACTGCCCATCAGAACTTAAGGAAATCATATATATGGAGGATCTTTTCAAACTCCAACCAAGGAATATTTAGAGGAGGGTGTGCTGTCTAAAAAGTTAGCAATATTCCCTAAATATTCCTAGAATAATAATAAAGGTTATCAAGGAAATCATGCAAGCCTGAATTTAACTGATCTTTATTTGACTTCTTTTCTTTCCTGTGTCTACAACCATGTATGGTAAAGAATTATGTAGTTTACAACCACTATATCAAATAAAGTTTTCACATGTTCCTATAACTACCTAGTTTCCCAAACATAAAGGGGTACCCTTTTTGTCCTCCAGAAGTTAAACGTACCTGCATGGATCCTTTTTGACCCTTTCCATGAGCTCCTAGAACTTTTCAGCTTAGAAAGATGAAATTGAAAGGAAGCTTGGTAGTTTTCAAATTATCATTCTCTATCTTACACTGATTACTTCCAACCTAAACTTTCTTATGATGCATTAAAACAAGAGGCTTAGGCAGTGTTTTACAGATTGAAGGTATCACTAATTGATGAAAAGCAGAACACTTTTTACCTTTCCTGGTATTCTCTCTAATTCTTTGACCTCTTTGACTTCAACAGGTCTCTGGATGAAAGTTAGCAACAAAAGATTTTATAAGAAACTCCAGGCTGGGCACCGTGGCTCACGCCTGTAATCCCAACACTTTGGGAGGCCGAGGTGGTCAGATCACGAGATCAAGAGATGGACACCATCCTGGCCAACACGGTGAAACCCCATCTCTACTACAAATACAAAAAAATTAGCTGGGTGTGGTCGCATGCGCCTGTAGTCCCAGCTACTCAGCAGGCTGAGGTAGGAGAATCACTTGAACCTGGGAGGTGGAGGTTGCAGTGAGCCGAGATCGTGTCACGGCACCCCAGCCTGGCGACAGAGCAAGACTCCGTCTCAAAAAGAAAAAAAAAAAAAAAGAAAAACTCTGGGTCAAGAAAGCCATATCCATCAGAATCAATTATCTAAATATAATCTAATTTTTCCAACTAATAATGTAATTTTTTAAAGTAAAATCACTCACAGCATCTTTAAGATAGTTTCTTAACCTCTTCCAAAAGTAATTTTTAGATTATAAAATGCAATGCATTTTCATTGGAGAAAAATCTCACAATGCAGAAAAATGGAGAAAACAAGCTCACCAAAGATAAGCACTGTTAACATCTTGATTTACAGTTTTCCAGGTTAGGGAGTGTATATGTGTAAAGGTTTCTTTTCTAAAATTGAAATTATTTCATAATTTTTAACTTAATATATTGTATATCTTAAGTTTTACAGTTATTAAGGAATTTTGGATGAAAATAAAATATATAACAGCAAAAGAAAAACTGATTCCAAATTCAGAAAAGGCCATTTCTTTTTTCTTCCTTTTGTCCAACAAATACTGCTGTTTAATCAGCTGTGAAAATAGAATCAAGTGTGTGACATCTGGTGATTTTTGTATAATGCAGTCTAGTGCTGCCAGCATGACATTTTGTCACCTGTCCATGGTCTGCTATTTTTAAATTGTTCTTGTCAGCTAGCGATCTTTTAAGTATAGTGTAAAATATAAGGTTTCAAAAACTGGAAGGCATACTTGGTTTTACTGAGTTAAATGATGCTGTGGAAATCTGAGACTGTGTCCCACTTTTCCCATTGCACAGGATCTGATAAATAGGGGTGAGAGGGGATGAAGGCAGAGGTTGGAAAACAGGGTTACATATGGTTATTCGTTCTGTTAAAATCACAGTCTCAGAAGCTCAATTCACATTCATATTTAAAACACTAGTTACAAAAAAAACCCCTACGTCTATCATGATTCAGTTTCAGAATCCAACTAAACTCATGCTTTTGTGAGCCCAAATTAAAAACTGAAATTTGTATTAACTCATAATTAATTATGAAAGTCATCTCTTTACTTCTACAACATGTTATGAGATAGGGAACAACTGCTGTACCTTCCTCTAATCACTCCCTTTGCTCTAAAAAGGCAAGTACTTCAGAAAGCTTCATGTAACAGAATGTT